AAGAAAGAAAAAAAGAAAGAAAGAAAGAAAGAAAGAAAGAATGAAAGCTAGAATAAAATCTAGAAAAAAAGAAAGGTAGAAAAAAAGAAAAAGTATTTATGTAAGTATTTCCACAAACTATATGTTAAACAGAAGAACATAGATTTTATTCTGAGAAAAGCCAAAACAAGAGACAGAAATGACAGAAAAATAATAAAGTAGGATTTATAAGATTGACACCTTTCATTCCTCCCTGCCGTGTCTAGAAATGAAAGAAAATACAGCTTAAAACTTGTCAACAAGAAATCGGCTCCCTCCAAAACTTAAGAAAATTGAGACGCCAACAGCAGTCTAAGACGGCCAAGCATTGTCGAGGAGGAAAGTGGCCGCCTCATACAGACGGCTGTCTTCCACTGTGTCATTATATTATAAGAAATACGCAAGTGAGGACATGGGAAGTGACCTCTAGTACAGGAGATTTTCTTATACAGGTGGCCATCACAGCAGGTTTGACTGTATTTCTAATTTATCATCACATTGCTGCTACAGACAACAGAGAAAAACACACTGCAGTGCTAAATATTCACTACCATTTCTGACGTGTTCATGGCTTTCATGGATCCCTATGCACACTTCATGCAATCCAGGTGCTCACACATATTGTAAAAACCACGACTCCTGTTTAGTTCTAGTTTCAGTAAGAGTTTTACGGCACTTTGCAACAGAATAGGGTCATATTAGTGCCAAAGATTAGAGGTGTTACAAGAAAGTAACAAAGACAAAAAAGGAGGAAGAGAGATAAGGACGATAGATGTCTGACAGGAAAGAAGAAACAAAACAGCACTAGAGCACCCACCAACCATCCACATGACTCCTGTCAAACTGTGGTTTTATAAAGGTAGGCATCGAAATAACCCAGCTGTACATGTCCTAAAAATTGTCAGGGAGGGGGGGGAAAGTTAAGACTTGAACCACATACAGTCCGACCTGTCCCAGACAACCATACATTGTCAGGGAGAAAAGTGATCATCTTAGACATGGGGCCCTCTTGAACAGTGTCATTCTAACAGACGGGAAGTGGGAAGTTGCCGTTTGAACAGAGGTGATAGTTTTTGACATGTGTTCATTAGAGCAAGTTTATCTGTAATTGTAAAATTAAAAAAACCACAATCCAAAACATCTCACAAACTCACTGAAGGGCTCATTGTTTCCACTCTGTCCTTCCTCTCATTTTCTTCCTTCAAAATCCCTTCTTTTGCTGCTGTCAAACTTTCATTTGAACCCGGGCCCTCCTCCTTCTCGAGACTTTTCGGGGAGGACTTCACTTCCCCTGTTCCATCTGTATCGCTGACTTCTTTTGGTGCAGACTCAGAGGACAGATTCAACCCTGCGTCTTTCACACCAGATTTTGTTTCCTCAATATTTTCCTTTCCTGTATCTTTCTTTTCGAGCGTAACAGTCTTTTCTTTATCGTCTGTCTCCGAATTTTGCTTCTCTTTCCCTTCCATTTCAGAAGGAGGTGACTCAGAAGCTGACGCTGCGAAATCTTCTTTTTCCGCGTCAGAACTTGTGTTTGCCACAGTTTCGCTCTCCATGCTCTTCGGAGTTTTGAACTTCCTCAGCGGAGGCTTGCTGCAGAGATGCTGGAAGTACACACCACAGTAGTGCATGGCCAGGGGGACAGCAGGAAGGATGAAGCGAAACTCCTTGTGAGGGAGGAAACTGTGAAAGAACAAAATATAATGATAAAAACAATAGACATAAAATAAGTTCAGTATTACCATGATTATTATGTATGGACTCCAAGTTTACCTCAGTCTCCAATAATAATGCAGTGAAATTCAAAAATGTAATATTCCTTCATTATGTTGTTGTTATCGCAACAGAAATGAGTAACAAAGAATACATTTCTCAGTAAGCCTCAATCCAATTATGAAAAAACTTGCCCGTCCCACTGATTTAGCTAAGTGCGTGCTAGACCGTATGATTTAAGAATGATGAATAAGAAAAAAATCCAGACATAAGAAGCTTTCCCTGACATTGATTGTGCTGCTGTTGTTTACTCTTCATTTTTGTCTGAAGCACAAAACAGAACCTTGATTCTCACCAATCAATGTCGATATTTCTAATAGAATGACTTGATGGAAACATCAGCAAAAATTAATTTTGTACTGCTCTGAGTCTAAGAAATAGTGTTCGTTTTCTTTGAACATGTTATTGAATTATCACTGTTGCAAGTAAAACGGTCAACTCAGAGTGCTGTGAGCAACTGTGTACTGATACTGACAAAACGCCTTTTTTTTATTTACAGCAGTTTCGAGATAAAGAGACTTTTTCTCAGCATAACCATTCAAAAAAGGCATTATTGTGAAATTTGATTTTCAAATTTATTCACAAACTAGTCACAGTTTCACTTTGATTTTTTTTCTCACAAGTAGGGTAATTGATCAGGCTTTTGATTTATCAAATAAAAAATTTTGGCATAAAAAATTTTAAAAGGCGTTTTGTCCGTTTACAGCAAAACTGTGTACTGTTGCTGATGAAACACGCTGAAACTAACCTGTGGGTTGCCAGGATCCACAAGATAATCCACAGCAAGACTTTATTCTTGGCCCTCCACGCCCCGAGAAAGAACGGGATGACCAGAGTGCCCATCACGACAGGAACGCCCTGCAGGAAGTACCAGTGCCAGGGGTGAGTCCCGTAGATACTGGCACCACCTTGCACAACGTTGAACCACAGGAAGTTGAAGTGAACCACAGTCCAGTGGCCATACCAGATCCGGTCGACGACCACCGATCCTCCAAATGACAGTCCACTGAAGAATTAGCGAAGCAAAAAAGACCATTAAGAGTAAAACACATTAAACAAATAAAGAGTATAGTATGCACGGAAATAACGAAAACAAAACAAAAACAGTCAAACACATTCCTTTTTACAAAGTATACGAAACCTGTTACTCAAACACTGATAAAAATCATTTTTCCTTTCTTCTCCAAGTATCCAGACATTGTTATTTACAAGACCTAGGCATTCAAAAGTGACTTGTGTGCTGCTCTATAAGAAACGGGTAAGACAAAAAGATATTCAAGAACTGATTAAGAAGTGCACAACACAAAAAGAGTAAATGCTACAAAACTAGACTTTTTTCTAGATCAAATATACAAAATTAACCACCACCCACATGCAGTTACTAAAACACAGTCTTAAGACCATTTTATTCACCGCAATCTTTTTCAAGTTTTCATCTTTTTCTTTGACAAATTGCTTTACAGATGTTCATCTAAACAGCTGTTGGATTTACTTGGCATTCATATTTAATCAATAATGTGGTTTGAGCTACCTACCCCACAAAAACATAAGCGTTGAACACAGACTGGAAGGCCATTGACCCATAGAGCCTCTGCAAGTGCCAGGAGCACAAGAGAATCCATATAAGAGCAGCCGTAGGGCGAACGATCACTGACAGCGCAGCCAGTATAAGAAACTTGTAGACATCATTTCTTTTCCTGTGGTAAATATAATTTTTTGCATATATTTAGTATAAAGCTGGAAGTGATGCACATGGACAGATATGATAATTTCTTTTTTTACTTTTGCCTATATGTTTGAGTTATGGTTCATCAACAAATTAACATCCATTAAATAATTCCAAAAAAATGCAGCAAACAAGAACAACAGAGCGATGAAGAAGAAGTAGAACTTACTCACCAACTATCTGATTCTTTTTTAACTTTGAAAGAAAAGACCCCAGACAGAAATGCTACAAAAGAAGGAAAGGAAAAGGAGTGGGGCTAAGAGAAGTTTGAAATCGTAAACACTTTGCAAAAATTATTTTGATCCAGTTACTTAGGTGTGTGATGTCAGTAAAATTGTTTTTAATGTGCGGAGCAATCTGGAGTGCAGTTTAAGGCAAATTACATAGGTAAAAGTTTGACTTCAAGGGGTAGAGATAAGAAAAATACTCTAAAATTCTTTAAAAACAATCTTGAATTAGAAGAGAGAGCACAATATCTAGTTCTAGGCGTGTCTCATTATTTCCAGAAAGGGTCACTCTAACAAAACTCGTACTAGAGAAAATAACATACTGCTGGACAGCAAATCGAAATCTCTACATATTTAAGCATTGTGCTGATTGATTGTCTCAACACAATGATCATTGTACAGCAGAGTGTTAGAAATGAAGAGAGGGGACAGGGTGCTCATGACACACTTAGAGTCATTAGCATTAGCCCAAGAGTGAAATGTACTGGTGTGAGATTTTTTTCTCCATTTTTTTTAAAGTATGTACCTTAACAACTTCATTGACTCAGTTTAGATCATTTAGGAGACGGGCTCCCAACTCTGCCTGTTAGGATCAACCCAGACTGAACGGGATACATCTCAGCAGACAGATCGAGATACCCGATAAAAATTCCCTTACCACTTGGGAACTGACCTCAGGTCTCCGGAATGAAACAGCAAAGCACCTAACCACTACACCACAGACATCCGTCTAGTGTAGAGTGGTTTGACGTCTGTGCCACCACATGCTTGTTATCTACTGCATTAATTCCAGCATCGCCGAGTTACATACGCAATGCAAATGGTTTTCTGGCTATTATAAAAATTTTATTATATGAGCCTTTTTATTCTAGTATCATGTTTTTGGAAGGAATAAAAAGGAAAAACAGAATGGAGAATAGTCTTTTAACTGTGAGTTCTTATTATTTCAGCTGTCATCATAAACATATCCCACTGTAACAATTAGGCAACAAAACAGAAAGAGCACCACTCCACAGCACCCACCAACCACCCCCTCAATAGAGAGTGATAAGAGACGTAGAAACAAGTAAAGCCTGGAGACCACACAAAAAATAACAAAGAGTCTTACGAAGCACTGTCTGGCCAAGGGAAGTAACTGAGGGCTCCAACTATCAGAGCCGTCTCTGTGGAGTTGCTGAGAGTTCGGGTGCAGCAGTAGATAGTGAACCAAGACAGGAGCTGAGGAAAATATTTTAGCATTTCATTTTCATTGTAGTGCTATTATTGTATCGCTGCTTTTTTTGCAGCAGTTTTTACTTTATTTTTTTACCAGTTGCAGTTGATGCTGTTACCATTGGTCTTCTTCTTTTGTATGCTATGATAAAAATCTTCAAGGTGATAGTAAAACGGTACAGAATTTGAGGAAAATATTTTATTATCATTGTGGTGTTATTGTTGCACTTGTAGCTATATTTGTTCTTTCTGTATTGCTGCTGATATTGTCATTGCAATTGCTGCTGTTATTTTTAATCATTTGTATGCCATATATATAAAATATTTGAGAAGGAAATTAGTAAAATATATTATACCAGAAACAGTTTTGAAGATTAATGTGTATCCATCTCAATAAAAAAAGATGCTAAAAGATTACATACTGTGCAATAATCATAAGTACAGTAATCAAACACCCAACAAAGCCAAAAGACATTTCTGTGACATAATGTAGCTCAAAATTCTAGTACCATCATGCACTTGTCTCTGTGCCGATTCACTCTCACCTGGCAAAGCAGTGACCACTGGGCAGTAGCTCTGCCACTGAGTCGACTGGACAACTTGTACAAATGTAGGTCCCCATAAGCTGCTATAACGGCTTGTACTAGTCTGGGAGCTTTGATCTATTGATGAGAAAAATGAAAGTGATATGGTAAGTGAGTAAGTGAGTCAGTCAGTCAGTAAGTGAGTGAGTGAGTGAGTGAGTGAGTGAGTGAGTGAGTGAGTGAGTGAGTGAGTGACTCAGTAAGTGAGAGAGTGAGTGAGCCAGCCAGCCAGTATTTATTCAGGGTTTAAGGGCCACTGGCCCACATCACATAAAACACAGATTTTAGATAAGAGACTTCCATGATCACAGCATAAATCATAAATGCTAATATGCTAAAACACTTCAGTGCTAATGCAAAACATCATATTGAATAACATATCCAGTATATTTCACAAATAAGACCATTCATTACTAAAAATGTAAACAGTATACAAAGCATTTGAATATACGCACTGAACGTAGGTGGAAATGGTCCGTGAAATTGAAAAAAACAACAAACAGACACAACTAGTAAGCGATATTGAGAATAGAACTTGTTTGAGCAAAACAATATGATCAAATGTAAGTCAGTCCAAGAGGTTGGAAAGTTCTACAGGAAAAGTATCCAAATTGGAAAATGTAAAGACAAAGTTGCTCTTAAGAAAACATAAAATTGATGAAAATGGCCAGTAAAGAAATGGAAAAGTGCATTGAATTCTCCATTAACAAATCCTCAAGGAATCAAAGCAGCTTAAAGCAAAAACCACCAAAAAAAAAAGTTTAAAAGAAATTTAGGTAGCCTAAAAAATTGGTAGATATACATTGAGAACTCTGTTTCAGTTGATTATAGTGGTAAGACAGATTTTGGTCACACTCTGTAGTCCACGGCGCCCACGGCAAACCAAAATACATGGAGTTTCCTAGAGTCTAGTAAGTGTAGTGTAACCAAAGATTCTCTACTACTGTTTCTCTGTCTAAGATCCCAGTGCTCGGTAGCATGGGAAATATGGGATCTTAGCCGACAAAGCCAAGGAAGAATCTACAGTGACCCATGAACTGACGTGACCCCTGGGTGAGTTTATGACATATGGCGAGCAAAGAGTGGTCACCTTGATGACCAATCACAGTAGCATGAGGCATGCCATACACTCATTAGCCTATCGTGAGTCTCGAGATCTTGATCTACGTTTATCCAGCTGCCCCTCCCCTTTACCTGTCCAAAAATTATAGCCTTCCATCTTTGATTGAGTCTCTCCCCCCCCCCCCCCCCACCCCTGCCTTTGTCATTATGCACCATTACGTTAAGACCACACCAATTAAAATTCAGGCTGTCTCGCAAATTCGGGAATAGAGAAAAACTGCCTTCAATGGTCAGGGAAGAGTTCACAGTTCGATGTGATCCTGCCTGGAGCAAACTTGTAGGCCCTACCCACCCAGCGAGTGATGTAAGTTTAGGTGGCGAGCTCAGATGCGAGTGCGATGTTTAGGGAAAAGAAACGCATCGGTCAGTTCACACCTCGGTGTGATCCTGTCTGGGGCAAACATTGTACCATTTCATGGAGTTTTACAATGCTTGTGCGATCACATTCACGAAAGTGGCTGATCTTTAATGCGACGGGCCGTTCTTTGATCTCCGCAAATTATGATCAGAAATACCGGCACTCACTCTTTCATTAAGCTTCAAAAGTACTCAAAATGTACTTTAAAAATACTCAAAAGTACTTTTATAAAAAGTATCGGAGTAGAGTAAAAGTACTGGTTCTCAAAAATGTACCAGAGTACAGTAAAAGTACCGAAAATTGTCATGTAAGTACAAGTACCAGAGTACTTGTACTCCGTTACAACCAGCTCTGAAAGGAATATAATATCAACATCAAAAGAGAGAAGAAATAAGAAAAGATTCAAGATACTCTTTTAAGAATTTTGAAGAAATACACTTTCCCCTTCTGATATACAAGGAACAGAAAATCTGATATTTAGCGTACAGTATTGAAAGTATGTTGAGAACAAATACAAAAGATCATGTGCTATCGCAATTTATATTTTGCACTAAGCAGGGTTTCAAAATACACATGAGAAAACAGAACATGTAGGATTTTTGTTGTATTATAGATATAATATACAATTGTTTCTGCCTAAACATACGGGCTCCAAAGGGTGCATTATGTGAACCTATGCAAAAGGGAAAAGAGATGCAACCATCACATTTCCTAGATATTTTAATGATTACTGTTACTTCCCTTGGGGGGGGAGGGAGTTTGCTTTCACTAAAAATACGATGAAACCTGACTGTTTTATAAAGGATTCCTTGATCCAGGTTACATTTACAAAGGTGTTGAAAGAGTGTTGAAAAAAGTAGAAAAACAAACTCACTGTACAAATGTTTACTAATATGTTGGGAACAGAAACGAAGAAACAGTTGATGATATTCACAGGGAAGAGCGCTCAGCCATGCAGATTTCCAAGTGACCACTACTGACTGGCTAATTGCAATGCGGTAAATGCATGGATGACACCAGACATTCTGAGAGACTTTTCCTAGTGATCCATTGAACAAGTACATTATAAGTTTTTCCAGCCCAGCTGATTACTAGACTACATCATTAATCCTACAGGCCTATCTAATGTTCCATAGCATTGACACATGGTGCGCATCACAGGCTTAACTAATCACCAAGACTAAATGAGACACCTTCACTCAAAGAAGGATATTAAAAAGATATTTCAGTCACCCCCCAAATATATTGCTCGCCCTGTCCTATGTGTTCGTAAGTTGTAAACATGCTGTCCACCACTTTCATTGTGCTGTGGGAGTACCTGTCTCACCAAGTATCCAGTTGTCTAGACTTGTCTTTATTACCATAATGCATGCTGTCTGGATTGTTGCAAAGCTCTACCTGTTGGCCTGTATCACAGAATGAAGTGTACATTTAGAGGAAGTGACCATGCATTCTATGTTTAAAGTTTTAGAAAAAATGAAAGCTTGCGTTTGAGCAGAGCTTGCCTTTGTATGGCATTCGTTTAAGCGGAGACTACTGTATTTCAAACCAGTCATGAAGAAAGCTTGCCACAAAAGGATTGGATTTACAAAATGAATGTCACTGTACCAGCATAACCCTTGAGTCAATGCCCAGGAAGTAGAGAATCTTGTAGAGGGTAGCAAACACAAGGGGATACGAGTATCCGCGCAACCCCTCTCTCCATTCCCAGGTCATGTAGCCGTACCTACAATGTACATAACAACAGATCATAAGTACAAAGCAAAGTTTCAGACACTAAAAAAATATCATTCTCTTCTAAGGGATAAAGCTGTAGACTAAGAGGAATGTCACAGATAATCCGTAAGTGCCACTTTATACTGACATGCCCCAGCATAAAAACACTTTAGCTTGACAATTCCAAAATTTCTTTGTAAAATTAGGCAGGGTAAACTACTTGTGAGAAATTCACCTGGTGGTAAAAGGGTTAAATACTTTAAACATTTTATTGACAAATGATACACCCTACATACTTACCCAAACACCATCTTATGAGCAACTTCTAACGACTGCCAGTACTCATCAGGCACAAACTGAGTTTGAATGAGCAGTGCATTCGCGCAGCGGATTACGATCAATGCAAGAAACAAGGAACGACTGTTGGACATCAAGCGCCTCAGCACTATGGGTCCAAGCACCTGTCCACAGAAAAAGAGAATATGTCACAAACTATTAGGGGATGAAGATAAGACTTGAATAAGAAATGCCCCTTTTTCTCTCTTCCCCATTCACTACCTTTCTCTTGGACATCCAACATCACAAATTTTCAAAATTACACCATTAGATAAGTAAATGTGTCTGTAAAATTTCGACTTTCTTCAGCTTATCCATTAAATTAGACAAGATATTCAAAATTTTAATTCATGGAAGTTTACTTTTTATTAGTAAACAAATTATTAGTTTCAAAAGTTTTCACCGTTCTTTGTTCAAATATGCCTAAAATAATATCCTTAAACCTTTTACTCTGATTCAAAAGTTTTCTTTACATGAGAATTCAGCATCCTGCCATGACACATTACATACTCAACTCACCTTATCATCAAACATGTAGCAATGATCCTCAACCTCAGCAGCAGCTATTTCTGCTTCAGATGCAACAACAGGTTTGGGATTTTCCTCCCTTATCTTTTGCAGGGCTATGGCTACCTGTTTCCCCTTCCTCCGCCTAATTGTAGACATTGTTTTGCTTTCCTTTGTCATTTTGAGACAACAGCAGTGGCACTAAGAGTCAACACACCAAGAAACCTGAAAGGAAAATATATAAGAGAATTATAACCCATGTCTCACTATTCTCACCCCCCTCGTTTTATCGGAAATGACCCTAGAGGGATCAGGACTGAGGTTAGCAGGCATTACCCTGGGGAGGGGGGTCAGGGCTGATGCTCCACAGCATTAAGTTCATCACTCTTCGAGTCCGAATAGTCACTACAGGCCTACACTGTGCTACTCATTGATTTCAAATGGCCACCTTTATTCTGTGACTCTAATTTTAACCCATGTCTCGCTATTCTCACCCGGGGTGAGAATAACCCATGTGTGGGCATGAGATGAGGACTCCCCCCTGACCTCTCGCAGGCCGATAAAATCACCTAGGCCCTTGGTGGCTTACCGTATGTGGTTGGGAACGAATAATAATAATGTAAAGACATTTTTCGCCTCTCCAGTAATTAAAAAAAGGCTCGCTACTGAGCGGGATGTGGGACCGGCCGCCGGCTGGACCATTCGTTGTTTACACACTTAACGATGACAGGCCTCTCACTCTCTGCCTGCACACAATCAATTCTGGTTCAAGGAACAGAGAGCGTATATACAAACATAACGAGACACAAGCACGAGACAATAAGTGCTCTGGTACGACAGTAGAAGGGTTGTAAATTAAATTCAGACCAAATGGGTGACAGCGTTAAATTGTGTTAACTAGTTTAACAATTAAACAATCCAAGCTCTTTTCTTCACTTTCATTTTTTTCTTTTATTCTTTCTCTTGGTTTTTTTCTTGCCTCTGAGCTTCTTCCCCCTTTTCTTGAACATATTTGGTAGAGTTGGGGCGAGCGGACGGACGGGTTCGTTACTTGCGGACTCAGTCAGAGCGAGCGGGTAATGGACGGCCATGAGAACGAACTGCGAACTTCAAGACAGTTCGTTTTTTGGGTCCACTCAACAATTTGACTCTCTCAGCGAGCGGACTGCGGACCTCAAGCCTCAAGATAGTTCGTTTTTTGGGTCCGCTCCACAATTTTATTCACTGGGATGGCGGGCAAACAAACGAACTCTAGCAGATGAGATACTCGACACAAGGTTAGGTCCACGGTCTATTGTTTGTTAATTAGGCCTAATGTTTCAAGCCACTAGCCTAGCGGTGCCACAGGGAGTGAGAGAGGCTGATGACGTAGTATTATATGTGTAACCTTTCACCTCGTGTGTGGGGCAAACTGTGTACATTCCAATTATCGCAAAGGCCGGGGGGGGGGGGGGGAAGAAATTTCCGCCATGAACGCCTAGCTACAATGTGAGGCAGGAGGGTGATTTTTTCATTTATTTTTTTGGGGGGGGGTCGCGGGGGGTTGTAAGTTGTATGCAATGGAAGGAGTCGCTACCGTCCGTCCGTCCGCCCACTCGAATGCATGGAGTCTCTCGGTCCGCCCATCCGCTCGCTCGCTAAACGAACTGTTGTCTCTGTCCGATGTGTACCGAGTAGCGAACTACTCTTCACAAGCGGACTGTTCATTACCCGTCCGCTCGTTTGCGGGTAGTGCCATCGAGTAGTTCGTTACTCGTGGACGCTAATTTTGCGAGCCCGACCCAACCCTAATATTTGGAGATTGGAGCCAAAAAAGAGCCAGACGGCCCAGAGAGCCAAATGAAATTCTCCAGGCCAGACACGATCCAAAAGAGCCAAGTTTCTGGGATTTGGGTCCAAACGACAACCCTGACTGTGACTAATATAGTCTATAGTAGTCTCCGCCTGAACACACGGTGTTTGCGAGGGCTCCTTAGCGTGTGTTTACATGAACCTTGCAAAGAACTGGCATTACATAGGGCCTACTACCAGATCTATGGGGCGGCTTCAACTTCAACCTAAATTTCTAGTCAAGTAGATATCTAGATATAGAATCTAGATCTAGATCTAGTGTGAAAGGAATGATTTGTTGTCGTTGATTCATCACAATACAATTCAATGACAATCATATCATATTATCCATCATAATCAATCATTGCAGCTATATAGATCTACATCATATGTAGATTTAGATAGATTCTAACAGATCCTGATCAATCTTGCTTTAATACACGCGTCGTACGTGCAGCAAATGGAGTGCAATTAATATATCAAAAGCAGAAATCAACCCACCTTTCACTTTCTGCGCGATTTCGTGAAAATAAAGCAAAATAAAACTGTTGGGCAAGTCTGTGCGCTCCCTTCCTTGATGGTTGTTACAGCCGCTTTCCTTGACAGTCAAAGTTATTTCCCCTTACACTGGCCCCTTCGTGGCTTCGTTCATAAAACTTTTAGAAGATTACTTAAACATCTGCAATACCTTAAGGTGATGATAATCCCGAAAATAAGCCCACGCAATTTTGAAATTCAAGTGACTTTAGTCTTTAGAAAGACTTACGTGAAGTGTTGTTTTTTTCATGCTAATACATGTGTCGGCTTGGTCCTGTCTGTTCACTTCCAAACCTGTTTTCGACCAGGACTACATAATAATATTGTAATACGCATGACATGCACAGAAATAATAAGGAAGATTTAGATCTAGATCTAGATCTAGATATTAGATCAATATAGATCTAGATTCTATGTATGCCTACGTTTCGGGATTTAAAATTTTTTTTAAATTAAAAAGAAAGTACAAGTTTTGTTTGGTTCTGTTTCTTTTGTTGTGTGTTTGTTGTTGGTTGTTTGTTTTCGTGTTGCTTTTTCGCGGGGGGTGGGGGAGGGGGGAAGGGTTGTTGTTGCTGTTGTTGTTGTTGTTGTTGTTGTTGTTGTTGTTGTTGTTGTTGTTGTTGTTGTTTTATTTTAGCTTTGTTGGGGGCGGAGGCAAATCAGTTTACTCTCACTTTACAGGAGCAGAGTGTATTTTTACTCTAAAAACTCCTTTCAGTAGTCTCCACCGTACTGTCTTAAGAGTATCGCACTTTCTCCTACAAGTACAAGGGCAGAATTATATTTTTATACATAATTTGATATTATGGACTGAATCTTCTCGTTCGTGTTCACAGAGAACTAGATCTATCTCTAGTAAATGGTGACATTTCAAGGAACAAACATTTTAGTTAAGTAAGAGTTTTACGGCACACGCAACTGCATAAACTCATATTCATGTGAGCGCGCGTGAGGAGGAAAGATAATATATTCCAAATATAAGTTTCCACAGAGTTGGGCCTTCATGTATGAGTCAGCTATATGAAGTTTTGTCGGGTAGTTTTATGCCTTTTTCACCACCATCTGATGACGTATTTGGGAAGTTCTGGTTAGTCTGACTGATACTGATATCACACCCAACTCCGGAAGAATGAGTAGAGCGTCTTAAATTATCGTGGCCTGTGTCGTGATTTAATGCATGTAATCAACTACAGTATAACACGGACAGGTCGAACACAGAAGACTCGAAATCACGCACCCGTCGAACTGTGCCTGTGGTCCCGTTGTTTTGTTGTTGTTTTTTGTGGGGGGGGGGGGGGGTTGTTGTTTTTTTTTTTTTTTTTTGGGGGGGGGGGGTTTCTTTATCTCTATCCCTCGAACTATGGATCCCTCGAACTACCGAGGCCGGTCCCGACGAATTCGAGCTACCCGTGTTATACTGTACATATGATGGTTAATTGTGGGCAAAAAGATGTTGATAATGTATTTGTGAACGTATCTAAAAAAGATGTTATTTAGTTTAGTATGAATTTAGAAAAAAAAACATCAACATTATGACGGTCGAGTGTTGGAGCTATGAGAAAGCAAGATAGACGGACATAAACAGCAAGGGACGAATAAAGAAGAAGACGAAGAACACAAGTCGCTACCTTGGAATTGCACTGTTTTGTGTGACCTTTTTGGCCGTTTTGAGTTACTAAGACCATGAGGTCAGAAACCAAATATATATCTTCTCTATCAAAATTGTAAGATTATTCGGAGTCGTTATAGCTATAAATATATAGATCTACAAAGAAATGCATTCGAATAAGCTTGACATGGGAAATTTTTACGTCAAATTTCTCAAAACCAAGCACTGAGAAGATAGGAGTTTGTAATTCTAAGGTAACGAAGTGGCACCCTCCAACTTCTCTCTCTCTCTCTGTGTCTCTCTGTCTGTCTATCTATCTGTCTATCAGCCTCGTTCACCCTAATAGCGTACACGATTGCGTAGCCTCCCACTGGCCGCCGCGAAGTGTGAAAGGCTCTACTTCTGTTTCTGGACGATCCTCTCTACCGACTCTACTTCTACTTCAAACCAGCTATGCTCCATTCTGTCTGAGATGTGCCTAAAGATCGCTTTCCCGTGTGGATGTCAGCCTTCCTCTCTTGCTCCTCCCTTGGGGATTCCATCTTAGGCTTTGCCTTTTCACATTGTGGATTGACTTCCCAAGAGAGTACATTGTACATACCCATTGAACCACCGTCTTCTCTTCTTGATCTCACAGTCTATCAGTATTAATCGTTTGGTTCTCCTCCATAAAAAACTACAGTACATTTCTTCAGATGGTGTTTACTGTCTGGCCAGTAGATTTTTATTATCACCCACAGGTAACCATTGATGAAGGATGAAGAACTGCAGTTTGTTACTCTCCAACCACAGGTACAAACTGAAGTTCCACTCAACTATTACTAATTACTTAAGTGCAAGCATACTGAACGATGTTGGCGTAAGAGTACTTAGAGGGTTTACTGGAGTCTGTGCCATCAATACAGACAGTAGTTCAGTCTTCTTATAGTTGTGCTAGTGGCATGGTTTTATGCTTTTATATATACATGTATTATACAATAGAACATGGCAATAGCGGGACATTAAGTTCCAGAAGAAAAATCCCGCAATAGACAAGTTCTCACTATTGGAATGCATAGAGGGGAATTATCGAAAAATCACAAACTACTTGCTCTCCTCTTCTTTTACTGTCTTTTTCTTCTAGCCATTAATTTTGGAGAGGCTCACGTAACGCGTCCACCCACACCATCTCTCTCTGCCGCTTGCCCCACCTCACTCATCACGAGAGACTGGCCAATCACAACGCTGCACCGCTGACTGCCTGTTTGGAACCTACCTATATCCCCCCCCCACCCCCCTTTCCCCAAGTAGAGCTTGCTAGTTCGGGCCTTTCCTTGCCCCGTTTTACCCAAGCAGTTAATTGGGTTTACACAGACAAAATAAAGGGGATTCAGATAAGGTCCCGCTGCAACGGGTGCCGCTATAGTCATGTTCTTCTACTGTATATTTTAACCTCAAAATAGTGCCTTTTATCAAAATTTAAGATTTACAACCTCTACTCAGAGGCACTGTTCATCTTACTACTAAGTACATTGATGAAAAGCGAGGTATTGCTCTGTGCAGCTTCGTTTCTCTTTGATTATTTCTCTATAATGTTTTATTCCCCAACTGACACTAGATCTCATTGTGGGTAAGACCTTCCTCAACCCTGCCCATCAGATCCAGGTCAAGCAGGGTGGTGGGATGCAGTATTCAAGAGGTGGGAAACAACAGCAAAAATTCCCCACTCAAGAAATAAACACATGTTCTGCAAGTGACGGTGGAAAGCATACCTATTAAACTGCAGGAGTTTATCTGCGCGCGTCTGGCAGAACTCAGATGGTAGTACATATACCATGATGTACATATGGAGTGAACTATCAGACAAGGGAATTGATAGAGAATTCAAGTGAACCATATTATTCTGAGAACAAGACAATAATTTGTTGGCATAAACAATAACACGGTCATGTAGTGCAGGGAAAAAATAAGACAGACAGAGATAACAGGGGGAAAGGAAAAATGTAGGACCTACCAGTGGTAACCTCCAACAGCCCACATATTATACAATCTGACTCACCTCTAATATTGGTAATATTAACATATTAGGAACAGAGACCCAGCTGTAACTTCAATTCCATGACCTTTCAAGTTGCCTTCATCAATAAGGTATTGAAGCGGTTAATACCCAAACTTTGGTAAAGGATAGCAAAAGTAAATTAGCAATAATGTAAGACAGGGGTAAAAAAGACAAAGTAGCTTTTCAAACCAGAGAAAATATTTTTAAAAATACAACTCGACAAACCAAGCTAAAATACTTTCATGTATACTTTTATTACATTTCATAAAGAATTTATCAATAAGACGAAGGGACTGAGTAAACTTACACAGTAAAGTAATAACAAATGCAGATGTATGCATTAACATCGTATAAAACTGCATTACACAACAAATACACATAGAAACATGTATGTCATGTATGTATAATACAGTCCATATATACATACAGAAATATATTGCAGTTCCACATTATATAATTTGTTTAAAAATGAGAGGCACAGGAGAATAAAAGATGGAAATGGCAAAATTAATATAATTACTTCTGTTATTAAATGCAATTATACCATTTGACCAATAATCTAGTCTGATTTGTTTACACAACTGGAAAAAATATTCACCATGGTCAGCTGATGTGATGACAATACTGAAAACAATATCTGAGGATGGACAGATCTGAGAAGAGCATAGCAAAGGAAAGACGTGACACACACAAAAAGTCTTAGTAAGAGTTTTACAGCACTTGCAACACAAGGTGCCGAAGATTAGAAGTGTTACAAAAGAGTAACAAACACAAAAAAGGAGGAGAGATGAGGACGATAGATGTTTGATAGGGAAGAAGAAGCAAACTACCTGTGCACACCCACACACACATAAAAAAAGGACAACAGAAAAAGTAGAAGTCATCAAGAGGACCCTCACACCTCAGCCTGACTGAGCACTTCTTCAATATCAGGGTCACTGAATGAAAATTCACATAAAATATGAGACTATCCTCAGAATCTTGAAAAGTCTAAATTTTTTATCCTTTCTTCGACCGTTCCCCCCCCCCCCCTTTCTTCCTCTTCTCCAAAAGAAAAGTCAGTGCAATGAATGCCTCTAAAAGGGTGCCAGTGCATATTTGCGTAAAATTTTAAAAAATCATATCGATTCAGCCAATTTCACAAAGGTGGGTACCCCTGCAGTTCTAAAGATGTGTCTGATAAAATAGAGTAGAATTACGCAAAAACAAGAGCCTCTAACATTTGAGGAGATCAAAACCCCTTCAGATATTACTTGAAAGTAATATCATATTCAGGCACTGACCAAAAAAAAAGAAAGAAAATATTTCCAGTACCGCTACATTATTTACACACAGAACAGTCAGTACCAAAGGTCGTCCTAAAATATCACATAAATATATAAATGTTGCAATGTCTTAAGCAAGGCTAACTGATATTACCATCCTTCATTTGATACTCTAACCTCAACGTCACCAACCAAAGTGTTCTCTATCAAACAAATTGATACTACATCATATTTCAACCAAATTGATTTGTTTTCAGTCAATGAGTTATTGCAATTTCAACATCTTTGGGGGTCACCTTTGGTTCTGATTTCATACGCGAAAGACATGATCAGACTACATTCGACAAATAAATGCATTAAATGCCAGCAATGTTTGCAAAGGATATTGACTGCACACCCCAATGCCTACTCAAAACAACACAATTGAGTGCACCACTAGACAGGAAATATCTACAGCAAAAGTAAAACAGAGTCAATTGATCAGAGACTGAAATTTCCTGCACCATACCTAGTTTAAAAGTATGCCACTAAAATAGACACTACCTTCCAACATTGAAAAAGCACCATGCATGAAGCATTCAAGTACAGAGTAACACAAGCCACTACCGCATGTGAAATCTCAGGCTGGATCTGTCGTCCTTGCTGGCGGTCTTGGATTTTGTCTTCTTGGCCTGTTCATCGATAGCAAAACACTTCCACAACCTGAGCGTCTCGTCGGCACCAGCAGAGACTACAGTCGCCCCGTCAGGCGATGAGCACATGTGGAGCACTCTCGCCGTGTGGCCTGGTAAAAGACACAACACCAAACATGTGTTTGTTTTAGATTTTGTTTTTCTAAGAGTTTTATGGCACTTGCAAAGCAATAGGGTCATAAAATTGGTGAAGACTTAGGTATACAAGAGAGTAACAAACACAAAAAAGGAGGGGAGATAAAGACGATAGATGTGTGATAGGAAAGAAGAAGCAGAAGCAGTTCATACCAGAGCACCTGCCAACCACCCATAAACATGCGTTCATTCTGGTTCAAAATGTTAAAGCAAAGAGAAGCACACTCATACAATAGCAGTCATTTAGTAGTGTAGGGTAAGAACAAGACAAACAGGAATAAAAGACGGAAAGAAAAGTAGGACCTAATAGCGACGTTCTCAATCTGGTCAGAGCAAATAATCAAGATGTTCACTGGAAGTTAAAAAGATTTTTCACAATACACTTCTATTTTGTACTGAAGAAGAAAATTCAATGACCTTATCAAAACTGTTTATTAGAAAAGTTCAAAAGCAAAATATACTTCAAAGGACTGTCGCTAATAAAGCTCAATAGGAAAGCAAGCAGAGTACCAGTACATACAATTACATTACACATGGAGCACACTTGAATAACATTTACGAATTCAATTTGACAATAATTACTCGTTAACATCAAACATAATTTTTATCATAATGAATTTCATTTTAAAAAGATTGTAGGTAAATTAAAAGCCTCAGGAAAAAAAAAAGTATGAAATAATCTTAGCAGAACCCACAAATCAAAACTTCTGAGGAAAATGACTCATATATCATAATTCAGGAGTGTTACAGATTGTGCGAAGACAACAAAAACAGTCAAAAGAAAGGAAGCTCAAACCTGTAAGCTCCGCAATTTTGGTCATTGCTGGATATTTCCAAAGGGTCAGCTGGTTTTGAGAGAATCCGTGTCCTGAAATGAGTTCCTTGTGTTCTGCTGACCACAGAAGAGCACACACCTGTGAAGGAGTAATAATTGCAGTCAGACCAACAACTCACAAAAGCAAAGAAGGGCATATATACACACAAAAACAAAAAAAACAAACAAACAAACCCCAAAAAAACCCTCAGAAGACATTGTGATATATGACATAAAACTCAAAATCTCAAGTGATAGGTCATGTATTCAAGATATTTACTTCATCACCTTCCGTAAAAAGTAAGAAGTAAGTGAAAACTACAGTGGAGTCCGCTTAAAGTGAACTCTTTGGGACCATAAGAAAGTGTTCACTTTATCCGAGGTTCGGTTTAACCATTTTGGCAGGGCGGAGGCCTAGAAACAGTAGCTATACGCAGTGGTGGGTTTAGGGTGGAGGTGGGGTAACAACATAGCGGGCGAGCCTAGACTAGAGTTCTTTCTTTCTGACTGAGACTGCCGTCGCCAACACCTAGCTGGGATTGTCTGCCGATGCCTGAGGCAAAGAATTTTATCTTCACAGCATGGCGACAGTGACACTGTCAGTCCGTTCTTCGCTTTCACTCATTTTGGGCGTTCACTTTATCCGATTTCCCTGTGAAACCGGCTAATTTTATCCACTATTTTTATTACTTAAACAAATAGCGTTTCAATCAGGACCACAGAATATCATTCTCTTCAACCGATTGTTCAAATAAAGTGTGTTCACTATAGGCGGACTCCACTGTACTTTCAGTTCATGTGACAATTTCTTCTACATTATTTAAAAAAGCAATATTCCAACAAACCTTGTGCTGGTCAGAAACATCACCACCTTCTTCTTCTTAGCTTTTCCAGTAGTTGGGACATTGCTTCTAAAACCTGTTTGCAATTAAAACACTCTTTCTCTCATCATTCTGCCTGCCTGAGTTGCTTTGGTTCCAAGCCAGACTTCTATGTTCCGTTATTTTTCTCTCTTGCATTCTACTTTTACTTCCAAAATGTTTCACCGCTGACATATTGCATTTGATATGCCAAGAGTAATTCAGTTTTAGTTTCATTCCATTCTAGAGGAGTGTTGGCGTTTCTATTCCTATTCGTCTTAGTACTTCCTCAATCTTTATTTTCTCTTTCCATCATATTCTTAGAGTATTTCTACAACATTTTTTTTTAAAAGCTGTATCCTTTTTTTATTTTTTTCATTGATGGTCTATGCTTCACATTCAAATTTTGCGATGGGGAGCTTCTTAGAATTCTTATTTTTGCATCTTTGCATTGTTTTCTTTCCAGATGGACGTGATCTTTTTCAGTTCTGATGTTGCTACCTACCCCCTTCACAAAAGATCCTATTGTCTGCTTCTACTTTTGAGTTTGTGATTTTCAGGTAACATAAGAAAGAAATTTTTAATTATGAAACAACTGTTTTAAAAAACTTTTTTTACCCAATACAACACATTATATGAAAAGGAATTTATCAGTCTTATTAGAGAATGGGAATCATATAAGTTAAAAATTCACGTCATAAAAATAAATACAAAACAATGTTGTATGAAATAAAAATGTGGAAAGCACCTACCTGAGATTTAGTGTCGACTGAACTTAAACTTCCTCCATTGTTGCAGTTCCACAGTCGAATGTGCCGATCAGCTGTTCCTCCTCCACTTGCCAGGACATTTGGTTGCCATGGACACCATGCTAAAGCCTGGGGTAAATTTGGACGCAGAAATGTGGCTGAAGGAGTCGAGGACTGTCTAATTGTTCAAGTCAAAGGAAGTTCATCAAAACAATGGCTGTTAGAATACTTTAATTGTTTTTAACTTTTTCACCCTCTGTTACTGTTAAGCATCGAGGAGAGATGCAGTTTTTCATGGTCCGGCATCTCTGTAGCTCTTTCAACTGAGACGTAGTTTTTCAGGGTTCCATCCCTTGACTACCTCAGTCCACCCTTTGTTTGGCCTATTGCTTCTTAAGTAACCTGAGTACTTAGTGCAATAGGCTCTCGAGGCTGGCTGACTAAGTGACAATTATAACAGGAGGCCAGACCATTTTATTCCTTGTATTACGATGAAATGCAGGCAAGACTCCTTGCCAATAATATATGCTCTTACATCATTTCTCTGCATGTCTGTTCTTATGATGTTTAAAGTTTTACAGAGACATTTCATCTCGCATGCAGTGATTTTGCTTTCACGGTTTTTACTTCTCCTTTGTTCCTTGTAATAACGATAAAATAATGGTTGCATATAAGGTTTATAACTGAGTACACAATAATAAAGTACCGTACAGCTGGCCATATTTCATTATAATAATGTCTACCACTGAAAGCTTTAACATCAGGCAGGGTAGAACATACCTTCACGGCAGCCTGATGTTCATTAAAGGTGTAGAGAGGTTCCGTGCCGGTCATCAGAGAACCACTGTTTGCCCTCCAGATGTTGAGCAGATTGTCATTGCCACCGCTGGCCAAAAAGTTTCCGTTTGGAGACCATCTCAGCCCACAGACTTCCTGGGTGTGTCCTTGCAAGGTGCCCACATGGTGCTCAGCCACCCTCACATCATGGTGATGGATGCTGCCCGTACGAGAGCCACTTGGAAGAAAGAAAAAAGAGATAAACGTGTTTCAAAACAAGAATATACTGTGTTAACAGGCAACATTAACAACAACATTAACTACAAACTCGACAACTGACGCCAAAATAATGTTAAAAGTTTTTAAAAATCAACATTTTTTCATCATTAAAGTGTAAGTTGCAGAGCACTCAGGCTGACAAAAAAAACCAGTACAGTACTGGCATTCCTGTTTCAACCAAGCAGAATAAATGAATCACCAGTGTTGTTACTATTAGTAGTTCACTTGCCACTTGTCATATTTACCACACAGAGTATTCTATAAGTATCACTTTGACATTGTAAAATTTCTCAGACTCCAACAAAAACGCCACAAATATAGACACAATGTATTAAGTATGTAAGCTTTTTTTCAGTGTTAAAGGCCATTGGCTCGCATCACATAAAACACTTTTATTTTTATTCAATAAAGTTTCCATGATGAAATGCATTATCAATAAAACAACATAAAGTATAATCCGTTTATATCGACATGCCCTGGGAAGTGGATTTGATGTCGAATGTCGATATATAAAATTGTCGATCGATAAAAGAAATAATATAAAAATATATAGCCAATTGGAAAAACAAGGGGAGGTCAGCAGTAAAAAGACAACACTACTTTTTACTGGTTACTACCCTTCATTCTTCCACAACTACAAAGTGAAAACTAACAAGAGGCAGAGGGGACGAGGGGTTGGAGATACGGTACCAAACACAGAGCAACGCCAGGCGCACACTACACACAAGTGCAAACTTTGTTGTAGCATTCTTGTATGGCCTGTTTACGGACGCTTGCTGGGGAAAATGGAACGGCGAGGCAATGACTCACTGACCGTGGCACATGCCAGCGACAGACTGAGAATGGGATGTGGAAGGGGAATGAGTGATCGGGAGTGGGGGTAGGGGGTGATGCCCAGCGCGCGAGACGCTCATGTCTGTGAGGCACTGTACTGTGTTGGAGACTACACTGTGTAGGCCCAACATGACCTACTAAAGCCTGGTGTGTCAAGTAGGCTACATGGCCGGTATGCAGACTTAAGCATGTCTATAAAGCAGAATGGGCCGAAAAAAAGCCTATATAACTTATAAGAGGAATTGTTTAGTGAAGATATTGAAGGAAAAATTTCGTAATTGGAAAATGTCTATACACTGGCTGCTGATATAAGTGGATTATACTGCAAAGGGTTTTATATTTTAGGAAAAGACAAACCCCTTATTCCTAACAGAAGGCAGCTAGGATACAATGATGAGCTAAGATACTGTAGGGCACCATGAGACAATACTTTTGCTTCCTATACTCACCTAGTGAGTAAGTACGAGTTCCATGACAAAGCCCCTACTCGAGCAGCATGACCAGCCATCGTCCGTAGCCTTTTCTTCTGCACAGGGTCCCACAGCTGTTGAATAATATACAGTATTAGGTTTTAGTTTTAGTAGAGGTTTTACGGCACTCGCAACTGTATAAGGTCATATGAGCGCCAGAAGATTAGAGGTGTCACAAGAGAGTAACAAACATAAACAAGAAAAAGGGGAGATAAGGACGATAGATGTTTGATAGGAAAGAAGAAGCAAACCACACCAGAGCACCCGCCAACCACCCACAATATACAGTATGAAAATAGTACCAAAAAAAGGCACGAACAACTACTTCCTCAACTTTCACTAAAAAAACTATAACATTTAATGGATAGAAGCGGACATAGCTAATCTGTTCCCTCAATCTGAGCAAATATTTTTTCAATGGTTCAAAATTATCAACATTTCATTTCATGCCTTTACAAAGAATGACAGGGTTCTAACTATACTTTCTGCAAGAACTGAGTTACACACAAGCCCTGCACACTGTGTCAAACGCTCGAGACAATCTGACCTGTATTTTTTTCATTTGAAGATTAGCAAAAAAAGTGATAAGACATTCTTGGTATAAATAAAAGAATGGAATCCCATTTTCTCAAAACTATGCATCATGGTGTTAGAACCCTATCCTTTTAAGGTGCAATTTAAATTTAACACTTGAACTTTATGTATGCTTTTATTGTGAAAAACCAGAAAAACTAAATTAAGAGGCCTTGTCAATGAAAACTTGAACAATGAAATAAAAGCACCAATCAAAGACCCCTTTCTATTGCACACTGCGGAACAGTAAGTAAAGTTAGGATCCTATGACAGGGGCAGTCCCACACTATGTTTATATTATTAGGAATGCAGAGTGTCCAAAATGATAAGGTTTTTTTTAGTTGCACAGATGCACACTTTGCTTGCCACTGTCGTAATAAGTAATAATACATTACATATATGTACACAAAACTGTTTGACATATAGACAATAGAATTATACAGTGGGTGTCGCATTTAACAAGGTCACATTCAACGAGAAGTCGGCTCCAACGAGGCAATCCTTAATCCCTGATTTTTCTTCTATATCTCTTTGTAAATGTATGTTAGCTCCAACGAGGTTGCAAACAGACCGAAGTCGATTTCAACCAGGTCGCGATAACCAAATAAAGACAAATCAAAAGCGAAGAATTTTTCTCCTTTCTCTCCATCTCATGGGAAGCACAAGGCCCATCCTCCATTCCTAATGCATTGTATTGCTAGATCAAGGCATAGTGTGCCTCCTAACATGGGCCCCAAAGCCAAGAGGATGGGCGAGGGTTGGCCTGTGGTAGGGATAGGAGGGGGTGGTGGGAACACGGCGCGGGCTGTGTGATGAATCGTGAAACTGAGCCTGTGGTTAGGCCTAGGCCAGCCTAGGCACTACTGTGTGGCGTGGCGGACTGGAGGGGATGAAGAAAGCATCTTCCTCTGATTTCAGTTGCTCTTTCTCTTTCTATGCCTCATCCTTTTTCTTTGCAACCATCGCGGTGTTCGCACGTTGACTCATTCTCTTCCCTGACTTTGCACTAACTTTGACAAATTCCTCAGTCCACTTACACTAGAATTAAGTTCAAAATCGCTTCAAAATCGTCCACGAAAAGGAAATGTCTTTCATTTGAAATGAAATTCAAAAAATCATAGACAAAGTTGAAAAAGGACAGAGATCGAAGGCAGACATTTGTCGCGAATATGGCCTCAGCTCAACCACGTCGTCGACCTTTTTAAAGGACAAAGCAAAAATTCGGGAGGCCTTGGATCAAGGCTCGTCAACGCAGAAACGCCAACGCACTTCTGATGTTGTTTTGAGATTTTCATTATCAGGGGGAAGAACTGTTTTAATTACTGGTATTGGTACGCCATGTAATATAATAACTTGTCTCCCCCTTTCTTTCTTTTCTTTAGCTTTTGTCACGTTCAACGAGAGGTCGGATCCAACGAGGACAAGTCAGTCCCAGCAACCTCGTTGAATGTGACTCCCACTGTATTTTCCCATCCAAGTAAACATTGAAAAAGGCATGTTTCCATAGAAATAAATAGTCGAAATTAACCTAGACAGCCACCCATTGTCAAGGAGAAAATTAGTTGTCGTAGAAAGGTTGGATGTCTTGGACAGTGACATTATAACAAAAAAAATGTTAATGCTGGGTGGGTGAGGGGGGTAAGGGGGAGGAGGAGTGGGAAGTGGCTATTTGTATAGGTGATTGTCTTGGACAGCTGGCCCATAGAGTGCGTTCAAGTGTTATTGTCAAGTCTAGGAAATCACGTTTCGCACCTCTACAGCCCCTGATGATAGTCCAACTGCCAAATGATTTCCGTCAGAGGTCCAGTTGACGCAGCTTATGTAATCTCCTCCAGAACTGTCCATCTCCAGAAGCAAGTTTATTCCCCCAGTTGTAGCATCCCACAGATAAACGCTGGTGCCGAGGGCAACAGCTAAGACATTCAGCGCCGACCAATCAATGAGACTCAGATCTGAGAGACAAAATGAGCACACAAAATGTACATGAAGTTTTATACCAAAAGCAAAATATCCATTGATTTACCCAATTTGACATTTCATGAAAAAATTAAACAAGAAACTTGACAAAAACCACACAGAAGAAAAGTTTTATTCCAAAAATATATATAATATATAACACCATCAGCGAGTTTAATGAATTCCAATTGATTACTAAGGAAAGTACAGTCAAACCTGCCCTGACGGCCACCTCTATAAAGACAGCCACTTTCCATTCCCCCCGCGTTTTTTCTATATAAGCTAATTGTGTAAAACGGGCACCTGTCTAACGCGGCCGCAGCCACCATATTTTAACATACAACCCCTACCACACCAAGCAATAACACCTGTCTTAGACAGCCACCTTAGTGACTCCATTATGTTTTGTTATAAATTGAGCACTGGCCCCTGGCCTTGTGGGCGAGCAGTCATAATCCAATCCCCTGGCGTTATAGTTAGGTAGTCCCTCCAACCGATCATGTTGCGTAGACCCCTCCAACTGTTGACCAACAGGTAACAAATTTTCAGCTGCTGGTGAGGTAAGTGTGTGATCCCTCATAACCCATAAGCCCCAACCAGAACTCATACACAAATCGTAAGTGAGATGAGTGGTCACTGTTTACCCAGTCTGTAACAGAGTAACAATGGACGTCAACATGAACTTGTGACAGAAGCGTTGCTCGTTCTCCGAGTGGTGGCGACCCATGTATTTGTTTTAACATGGCACTCGGTCTTCATCGTCTGATGAATTTTGTTTTATAGCCACCCTTCAGCAAAAGCAGCAACAAAATAAAAATAACAAACAAAATACAAACCAACAACAACAACAACAAAACAACAACAACGCAGTTGCTTTCGATTGGGACATAGATGGGAAGGGTTTGTTTTCTTCATCTTGATCAGTCCTGCCTAAGACGGCCACCTGCCTTATATGGCCACTTTTCTCCTTGACAGTGGGTGGCCGTCTTACACAGGTTTGACTGTACACTGAGTAACTGATGCAGTAGCCATTCAGTTGTTTCGTCTGCTGGTCACTTTAACCGAAACATGATGGGGGGGGGGGGGGTTATTAGATGTCTTACAACTCTAAATTAATGGAAAAATTATACAGTTCAGACCCATTTTACAGGCCAGTCCAATTGATGACAATTCACTTCAGAATCAAAGCATTTTCATTTTCAATTTACCTTGTGTACAATACAGGTCTCACTGATGCTATGGGAACCCTCAGTTTATTTTAATTTAAAGTTGTGGGGGCCGGGGGGAATCATTTAGACCCAATCTGAACTCCCTGCTCTATTCCAGCTAAGATCCTGCTTATCTTACGTCTCTCTCCTTCCTGATTCCAGAACACAAGAGCCTTAGACAGAGACTACTGTACTGTATAGCAGCACTGAAAAACCACTACCAGATAAATCTAAGAAATGCAGTAAATGTGAGGCATCGTGGTGAAATCAGGCACTCGTCAAAATAATGAAAACAAAGAAACCAGCATTTTTCTGGCCTGGGGCAAATTTTTGTTCGAATTTTGTCTTTTTTGCTAAACACCTTTTATGACCATTTAAAAATACATTTCATTGCAGATTTTACTGAAAAACATTGACCACAGGCACAAAAAAAATGTAAATTTGCAATTTCCAAGGATACTTAGGCTTTAGAAGTCACAAAATTTTGGCAGCCATTTTCTCACTAATTTTACCTCCGACATCAAGCGACTCCCACCTTCTTCAATCGCAAACTTTATTATACTTTATATATCAACTTCTATTTTTAAAAAGCAATACAAATGAACACGCATTAGGATGATACCGATACCAATAACTTCATATGCCCAAAAATTGAAGAGCGCCTGAATCTCCCGCTTCATGACACAAATGATACATGATTATATAACGGATAAATGAAAAACTCACAATAATCATCCAGAATGTCAGGTGCATCAAGTATTCTCTCTGGCACTTGAGGGATGTAACGCGTTGTCTTTTTAGCTGTTGAACCCATCTTTCCCGTGGTGTAAAGAACCCTCAGGTCATTCTGATAACCTGCAAAGACCAAACAAAACATATCCTCACCATAAGTACTAAGTTAATACAATACTGACCATTAATGTTTTGAAAAAGGTATTTTCATAAGAGAGATAATTTACAAGGATTTTCAAGGCTTTTGAGACAATATAACTAACCAGCAACAAAACTATTTTTAAAAAAGGGGAAAAAAGAAACACAAATTGACAGGGCTATTGATACAGGCATCCAATATTGTAAAACATTCAAAACTATTGTCATTATTAAAACACAATTTTCCTTCAACATTTTCCCAAATTACAATTTTCAACTTTACTTTCCAGAAATGGCTGTGCTACATTTAACAAAGAGGAAAAGACACTGGAAAACCTGTTCCAGAAAAAAGAGAGATTTTCATAATATAATATGGAAATAACTTACTAATTTGAGGTTCAGTGACAATATTTTAAAACTCTGTGATTAGATCCCGATCCTCGGCTTATTTGAGTATAAAAAATAACCCTGTCATTCAATGCTGGAAAAAAATCAAGATTAACAGACAAATAGAAATACTTCAAACAAAAAAGGGACACTGAAGAAGCAGAACCTCCCAGCCACTTGCATCATTAGACCTTCTTCTTCTTCTCTTCTATCCCGTGGTTGGGGTAACTGTGGGAGCACCACTGCATCTGAAAACCAGCTCTCGCCTTCTATTTTTGTCCTCTGCTTTCCTCAGATTGTCACCCATCGTCTTTCCTGTCCACTCTGTAATGTTGTCCTCCCATCTCCTTCTCTTTCCTTGTACGGTTCCTTGCAGGATTGTTTTGGCAAGTCCTGTGGATCTTGTGACATGCCCATTATATCATTTTAATTTTCGTCTCTTCACTGTGGTCAGTAGATCTTCATATTGCCCCACTGCGTTGGTGATTCTCTTTCGTACCTCTGCATTTGAAACGTGGTCTTTGTACTTGTACGAGATGTCAAGGAGTCTGCGGTAACATCTCATCTCTGTGGTCTGAATCTTTTTCTCTAATTCTGCTGTTAGTGTCCACGACTCGCAGGTGTATAAAAATATTGAGATGACCAGTGAGCGTATTAGTCTCATTTTTGAGTTGTGCGTGATGTTTCTGTCCCTCCAAATAAGCTTCAGTTTTGACAGCGCAGCTGTAGTTTGCGCGATTCTGGAGAGAATTTCTGGTCTTGAGCCTTCATCTGCGACGACTGATCCAAGGTATTTGAAGCAAGTTCCTCGCCCCTGACTTTGATGTCCGCGTTGATGCCATTGATGTTATTGGTCATTAGCTTGGTTTTCTCTGCACTGATCTCCATGCCGTAGGCTGCTGAGGTTGTGTCCAGCCGCTCCACTAGTGTGGCGAGCTCCTGTTCTTCTCCTGCTAATCCATCGATGTCATCGGCAAAACGCAAGTTAGTGATTGTCCTGCCTCCAATACTGATTGTTTCCAATCATTAGATAGCAGAACATAAATGCGCCAAGAAGCAGATTCCAACAGCACACCAAAAAAATATGGATTTTTAAAATTAAACCAAAAAAAAGAAATACCACTTTTCCTGCTTGTGATAGCATACTATACCTTCAGGGGCTTGAGGAGGTTTCTCTTTAAAAGAAAGAATCTTTTTGTCCATGAGGTCTCCATTTAAGTTTTCACTCATGACTGCTTTGTACTCCTGTTGAGAGGGACTCATCATGGACTGTTCATCCTCACTTGGCCTTGCCTGTGTACATATCTGCAAAAAACAAACTAGTGCTTATGTTAAGAGTTTCATACTTTACAAAAAAAAACCTTTTCCAGATTAGGGAAGGAGAGGAGAGGGGAGAAGAGAGGGGAGAGGAGAGGGAAGAGGAGGGGAGAGGGGAGAGGGGAGAGGAGAGAGGAGAGAGGAGAGGACAGGCGAGAGGAGAGAAAGGCACTGGTCAGCAGAGGATACAATAGATGAAAAAAATTGCTTCTGAATACAATATAAAAAGATTAAATAAAGTTAAAAGTTAAACATTTTTTAAAAAGGAGTGGGGGTACTCTTGAAAGTGAAATGACTCAGCAGAAACAGGAGAATTCGGTATAAATTCTCATTTACTCAATGTGTTGTTTTTTTACATAATCAAATATATGATATAAGGAAATTACTTTTCAACTCAGAACAATACAAACCTTGTAATGCGCCAAATCAAAGTTATTTACACTTCTGTTGGGAATGAATCTGTCACCAGCTGTAGGAGTTTTAGGCGGTTTTGCTCCTGGTGTTTTCTTCCTTCCTACAAAAATAATAGAGATTGTAACTTCAACACAGCGATTTCTCTAAAATATAAGAACAATAGAAATAAATATGTTCCAAAAAAAAAGAAAGAACAAGCATGTGGTGTCTAATGGTTGTGCGCAAAGGTGTGTGTGGGTGCGTGCAGTACACATGATGCGTCGTTCACAACAAATAAAGAAATGGAGAGAAAAGATTCAGAAATCTGAAAAGACAACACAGACAGTAAAAAATCAGATAAATTAGATGAATTATGTCTCTAAAGCCCCGGTTACACGCAGTGATAAAATGTATTAGATTCGTTGTGTGCGAGAACTGTCCGTTTAATCGAACTGTGTTGTCTGTTTACACGTTCCAATCTAACGTCCAGTTTTCTTTCAATCCAGGAGATTCCTCCTCATAATACCACCATGTCTCTTTGCGACGACAGCGATTTTCCTGCACTCTATTTATGTGAAGGTTTTGAGCTCGGGACCTAATGAAAGGCGAACACTGTACCTCTAGATCACGAGAGCCCCACCCCCTCCTCTGTACATTTTGATAGCAGAACATTGTCTTTAGAAAAGGTTGGCCATACTGTACCGTGCTGTGTGTAGAAAGAGAAGCTTTGACTTGACTGCAGATGTGCAACGCACCCAGTGACCTTGATGCACTTCACCATTGACGATCAATTAAATAATAAAAACTAAAATTAACATAATTTTGCATCAAATCAGGTTCTCTGCGAGCTACTGTGCTTATTCCGAATATGAAATCAATTTTAAGATGCGATAATTTTTTTATATTTTGTGCCCTAAATTTAACCCTGTGCAGTGGCAAATTTCAAAGTGATTCTACGTCACAGCGCGTCTCCCCCCAAATCTTAACGTTATCGCACGAAAAATATCAGGTAGCGCTTGATTTCTCGACCGAGTCTTCAAGACATCGTCCAACCGTCCAAATTTTGTATAATTCTGTGGTTACACACCTATGATTTATCGTATGATCGCTAGATCGTCCAGTTTTTGTACAATTCATCGTTACATGTACCGAGCGATTACTTTAGATATATCTCTGATTCAGACCAACATACCAGCGGAATTTGGAGTCTTGGCTGCAGAAGGCGTCTTGGCTAGAGCTCCACTAGACAACGATTTGTTCAAACTTTTATTTGGTGTTTTGGTGGCTGTTGTACTTGTGTTGAAAGAAGAGCTACCGCCAGTTTGTTCAAACCGTTGGACCCTCATAAGTGGAGGCCTGGCACTTGGAACATCCATCCGCAGAGCACTGTTGATGTCATTTTCAAGATTGAAATGCGCCATCTGATGATAAAAACATAAGAACATATTCTTATATATTATGTTAGGCAGGAAATCAGTGACGAGCGACCACCGTGAAATATAAAGAGATACGGTTGAGGCTAGGGTTAAGGTTAGGGTTTCGGTTTTGGCCAGGGTTAGTTCTCTTCTTTACAGTGTTTGGGTGGTCGCTTGTTACGGAAGTTCTTCCTTAAATGTAAGAACTTACAAAACAAAACATGAAATCATGCTGCAAAATTTTAATTTGAAAAGTTTAGAGATTCATCACATGCATCATTGTTGAGAAATCCTTTTTAAGCAACTGAAACCCAGTTTACAAAATTCAGTGTAGTCTGCTTTTAAACCGAGCACAGTTTTACTAATCTGAAAATATCAGTAAACCAAAAGATAAAATAAAACGAACTGGCTAACCATAGTTAAGTATGGCTAGCCTCTCAATTCAGTCTAGCCACCCTTAAGTACGGCTAGCCTGCCAGTCTAGCCGTACTTAATTAAGGACCAAAACGGGACCGTTGAGTACACAGGTCTCATTAATAATTATTCAGGTTTAAATTACATGCACTGTACGTAAGGCACGTTTTGGTTTCGTCTCAAATACAAATGCTTTAGGTATTGCAAAAAAAAATTATTTACAATTCAGTAGGCCTATTTTTTGCTGTTTGTCACTCTAGCCATCATAATTTTAAGTACGGCTAGCCTAGCCGTCTACCCGTCATAAGTCATTAAGTATGGCTAGCTTGGCAGTCTAGACGTCACTGAAAGTACGGCTAGACTCTTCCGCTTCCATAATAAAATCTCTGATTTTTGTTTAGATTGACCAACCTCTCCAAGGACCAAACTGACAACCCAGCTAAATTAAAGCAAAATAAACGATCAGGTGGACTCCACTCTGCAGCACAGTGTTCCAAGATAGCCTGATTCTCTTTTTTCCAGATAAATTTTTCCCTAAAGTGAGGTTATAAATGTTTGAGTTAATAAAGCCTGAGCCTAAAAGGCCATCTTTATGGCTTTCTTCATTTATATTATAATGTGTGAGTTCTGACCGGCCGATAGGTCTATAGTATAGTCTAGAGAGGTAGTTGGAAAGGGAGTGTAGACCCGGTAACCGGGAACAAAGTCACAAAGTATACAGACCCGGTAGGGGAACTCTTTTGTGATTTCCGAAAGTTTCAGCGTCCTCCTGGCTCAGGGTAACTTCTAAGGTTATTCTAGGTCTATGACCTAGACTTAGATTTAGACAGACACAGACATAAATCATTGATCTAGTTTCGAGGCAAGCCTAGATCTAGATAAGATCTAAATGAAGATTGCGGACGTCTTTTCGATGAACGATTTGGAGTTGGAGGAATCACAATTTGAAGAAAAGAACAATCGAGAAGTCACCCTCTCTATTTCTCGGCCTCTCTTTCTCTCTCTCTCCATCTGTCTCAGTGTATCGCTCGCATTCTCTTTTTCTTTGTTTGTCTGTCTTTCTTTCTCCCCACCTATTTCCCACTCTATCTTTCTCTCGTTCCCTCCTGCCAACTGAGGCATGTCATACATTTTGCTAGCACTTCTCCCTGCTCTCTCTCCCACACACACACACATCACGGGGTCTGAGCGCTGAAACTTTCCGAAATCACAAAAGAGTTCCCCTACCGGGTCTGTATATACTTCGTGACTTTGTTCCCGTTTACCGGGTCTGTATACACTTCGAGTGGGAAAACCTCTTTGGTTTGGTTTTTTAATTTTAGTCTACGTTTTACATGAACAAGCTACAGTACAGCCAGCACCTAGCACACCTAGCTCTAAGCGGCAAAAAAGCGGGCCTGCCACGGCGAGATCTAGATCTAGAATCTAGATCTAGATCTAGATCTAGTCCACTGGCGAGGGAAACCTCAGAAGACGACAAAATCAAAAATATATGGAGGAAATAGATTATGTTATCTAGAATCTAGAAATCTAGACTACCTTGTAAAATTGTTTGCATGAAGACAACTCTTTCTATTAGATGGGCCCCTGTACCCTGTAGCCTACTAGATTCCAGGCCTATTCTATAGTACGCCCTCCTATAGGCTATGGGCTGTTGATTTGTAGCCTTGGGGGGGGCGTGGACCCTCTAATTACTGACGCGACAAATCCGAAGCTGAATCAGACAGAAGAATTACACACAGGTCACTGTGGGCGTTGGATGACACCTGGGGGGCTGGGTTGTGGGCAGCCGGAAAATCACAAAGGCGTCAAAGGCAGGGGCTTATGACTGACAGCAGCGAGACAGCACCAACAAACTTCTTGTTTTATATACCAAATGTGCCGTGAAATATAAATAGTGATGACAAAAATACAATTCCGAAGCAAGCTCAGACCTGTGAAACGTCTCCTTTCGTTTCTCTCTTCTCACTTCTCAAAGAAAGAGTCAAGTCGGGGTTTATTTTGGCAACGCTCGTTAACGATTGGACACTTGATTCTCAGTCTGCGTTTTCATTGGTGGGAACAATTTTGACATTTTTAAAATTACAAAGTGGGCCATGATTGTTATGGTCCAAAAAAAAACCCAGTAGCCTATGTTTGGCTCGTTGTCTTTTGCTGTGGTGGTTGACTTGACCCACAGAACACAGAATTCTGTGACTTGACCAGACTTGACTAGCCTGTCTCCGATCTCGGCCTTGCCGCGTAGTTGGCCCTAGATGCCAGAACTACCTCTACTAGGCTAGTATATCTACACTACAATATTTCATGGTTGTTGGTTAAAGTTGAGTTTGCAAAAAGACTGAATGAGAATGTTAAAAAATATTTTGGGGTAGCTACTTGGTATATATTGTTAACGAGTACGCAGAGAATAATAATATATTAATAATGGGCCTAATAATAATAATAGTGTTTCTCTTCCTCTGGCGATGATGATTGTGTTCACCGCACCCTTCTGTAATTATATTCCTTACTTCCACGCACCTTTCCACCCCCCCCCCCCCTCTCTCTCTCTCTCTCTCTCTCTACCACTTCTGGCTTTAGTGTTCCCTTCTCTCCGGCGATTTGCACTCACCGCTCCTTTAAATATTCAGACATGTATGTACGCACTTTAGTTTTTATAGCCTGTGTATATGATGATGAAGATATTTCCGATATATTGTCCAAATCACGCCAATACGTAACTTATAGTGAACACTTTGTTGCTGTGGCGTCATCATTCATTTATTTTTTTCTCAAATACTATGTTCCTGATGAAGCCTTATTGACGAAACGTTGAACTGTGAAAAATATATATTTTTGGAAATACAACAAGGTCTTAACTGTTTTAATACCTTCTTTATACAATGATGATGATGATGATGATGATGATGATGATGATGATGATGATGATGATGATGAGTTAATAACGACGACAACAACAACAACATTGTGTCGATGTGCTTCTCTTTAGTCTTATCGAATCAAACTCAGACGTGGCCAAGCCAGTGCAGTCTTCATTACGCTCCAAGCTGTCCGTTGTCATGCCGGTGCGGCGGAGGTCAGATTGGGAGAGGGTCGATTTGGATGCCCTCTTCAAATTTAATTTATTTGTCGCTCCAGCAGTTCTACACTAGAATAATTAAAGTCGACTCCGCTTGTGTTGAACTCGCTTGGGATGATCTTCGGTTAAGCTGATCTTTTTCTCTGGTCCCAGCACTTAGTGAAAATACTCCCCCACCCGGCCCGCTGTTCCAAAACAAAACAAAACGAAAGCAACAAATCCCGTCTCAAATACCTTTATATTAGAAATCAAAATTTATGAATAAGCAAATTGTAAAGAAAGGCAGAGAAGTTAAGCACATACCTTTGGGCTTGTCAGTGGTCTTCTAATTATTCTTCACATTTTCGTTCCCAACAGTGACGTTGAACTTCGGATGAGTTATCTATTTTCACTTTCACTCCCTCGGCATAACGTACGTTTTCTCAGCTCAGTGCCTAGATTTCTTGATCTAGATCTAGTTTTGAGAAATGTAATTTTTAATTTGAAGTCAAACGTTAATTGAACTTAATTGAGTATCACAACATGTCAAGCTTTTCCGAATGCACTTCTTGGAATTTATCTTGACCACGACTCCGAATAATCTTACGATTTTGATAGAGCAGATGGATTGGTTTCTGACCTCGTGACTCATGATCTTAGTACATGTACTCAAAACGTCCGAAAATGTCAGATAGAATTAGGTTATAGGTAATTCTAGGGTAGCGAGATGCAAAGGAGTCAGCGTAGATCTAAGCATCGCAAGTGAGGATACCATTCATGCTTCTATTCTTGTATAGGTTTTCCTGGGTTTTACTATTGTATGGAGAGTGCTGACGACACGGGTGTTATTCACCGTCACCTTGATTTGTACGTGTGTGTTATATGTTTGTTTGTTTTGTTTAGTATAGGGTTTTACGGCGCTCGCAACTGCATAAGGTCATATGAGCGCGCGGGACACACCTAATACTTTT